TCGTATAGCAACAAAAGAGACTCAAGAAAAAAGTGAGCATAAAAGTGTCCCATGATTATGGGGCACTTTTATTCTCACTTTATTCATGGGACTCTTTTATGCAATACAAATGTATGAGGCGTTTTAGTTGTGCATTTTGACTTGAGGCTTTTTTATGATAATTTTGATAAAAAGGAATGCGAATTTCGATGTGGCGATAGCACCAATGGATTGGGCACAATAAATACTGTATCAAAATCGAAAAAAAAATTAAACTTTTTTTTTCGATTTACGGCTGTTTTGCGACCGTCGACATGGGAAGTTGGTATGAAAACCTCGGAGCGCCGCTGGTATTGCATTGGCTTCTATGGCCAAATGTACACATGGAAATATCTCGAAAACGGCTGGGTTAATCGGCAAAACGGACCGTGATGTCACTCCCGAAGGGAGTGTAAACACCCGGCTGGTTTGACGGCCTGGAATACAAATCCGGTGGAATTTGGGCTGATCCATGGAATCTCAGGATTTGACCTGATTGATAGCACTTCAATTTCTTTCATAACAAAACAAAACATAGGTAGAATGTGTTTACAGATGCACATAAAAAAGGAAGCACTGGAATCTGGCCAAATCCTGAGAATCCATGGATCAGCCCAAATTCCACCGGATTTGTATTCTAGGCCATCAAACCAGCCAGGTGTCTACACTCCCTATAGGGAGTGACATCACGGTCCGTTTTGCCGATTAACCCAGCCGTTTTCGAGATATTTCCATGTGCAAAAATTTAATAATATTATATTCAATTGCATTGGCCTATATGGAAAAAAAACTCGAGCGTCGAAAACTTATGCTATTTCGCTCACACTTATGTGCAATTTTTAAGTGTATTATATTCGGTTGTTCGACGAACAACACAGTTGCTTGCTGATCTGATGCTGAAAATTAACGCGCAATAGACATTGCACACACAAACGAGATTGTGCATGTTCTGGCAACGTCACTTTGCAACCGATTATGAATGAGTGTAAATTTTTCATTACGTTCATTCATAATCGCTTAAAAAGCAATGTTGTGTCTACCACATTTAAAACTTGAATCTTTTTAGATCTTTTCAAATCTGTAGGAATCTCAAATCTCGAGCAAATTCAAATACTTTTGAATCTCTATGAATCCTTATGAATCTTCTCAAATCAAAATGGCTGACTTGTCAAAAAGGTCAAACAAATCAGTAAGATTTTTACAAATCTTTTCAAATCCCTTCAAATCTCAATGAATCTTCACGAATCTGAACACCTCTACACAAAATCAATTAAGTATTTTGAAAAACGAACGTATCTCAGATCTTGTGTCTATCCCCTAGCAAGACGATTACAGTCAGTGTACAATTTAGCAAGCAATTTTGTACGTCTTGAAACCTAGGAGCAATCACTGTCTGCTGTATTTTGCTTTAATAAATTTGCAATGTTTCACAACTTCACAAAATGCAAAATTAACTAAAAGTAAATTTTTTAAAGAAATTACAATTTTGCCAATAAAGGAAAAAGCCTCAATTTTCATTTAATTTGATGAGTTACTTTTGCATTTTGAGGAGTTGTGTTACATATTTATTTATATATTTCGGATGGAGCACGGTGTGAAAATGATAATTTCATGAAAATATGCAGTGCACAGAAAAAAAAACTAACTTATTCGACGGCTCTTGATTTATAGAATTTTTTATTTTAAGGTGGATTTCTGATTTTGAACATGTGTCTACCCCTCAACTTAAAACAGTAGATAAGTTTTGCTGATCCATGCACTTTTTGGCCTAAGCAAAAATCGCGTCTTATGTCTATAAATTTAAATTCAGTCCACTGAATTCAGTTGTGATATTCACATTTACGATTTAAAAATGAAGACAATTAAATCGTTGATTTTCATTTTTGTAAATCTAGTTTGTGTGACCAGGAATGCATGGACGCAGCCGCAAGAACCTGGTAATAATTGTAACATTTTGATGATTAAAAGTGTAAATTTTCGACTGAATATTTGTGTGTATGATTGTTAAACTCCCACAATATTAAAATGAATGACATACAAATTGATATTTGTTTCATTTGTTTTGTCTCTCGTTTCTTCATCAAAAATCAGTTTGGAATCAGGCCGCGCTAGCGTCCTATCTAAATACATTATAATGAATAAGTAAAAACTTATACATATGCATTTCGCTATGAATGCGTTTCATGTTATATAACACATATAAGCGAATACAACACACGAGACACGTCGTAAGCGACGCGCGCGTGCACACTCATAGCTGCCGTTCGTGCCTCGTGTGTTTTATATGCTTCTCTGTCTGGTTCCGTGTGAATGAAAGAGACAAACACTGTGCGCGAGAATCGATACATGAACAAACGCGCATGACAGCGAATATGCACGCAAGCAACAGCTGCTGTCGAATAGATCTGTTCACCAGCAGCAGATATATATTGTTCACCAGCAGCAGTTTCAATGCTCTGAGCATAAGTGATGTCAAAGTGTGTACAAAGAGTGAACCAATAGTGCGTTTAATGCTAGTTGCTAAAGTGTCTCTGTTGATGTTGATCGCTGGCGTTTATAGTGGTAGTTTGGAATATTTGGAGATGAATGAAACATTTGCCACACGAGATGCACATCAGGTCAGTGGCAATATTGGCTACTTGCACAACAAACCAATTATTGTCACCAAACTGATGCGATCGAATCAGAGTGCTGGCAGCGACGATAGACATGACCAAGCCAATCATCAAATCAGGGCATTTTTTAAGGATTTTTTACTACTACCAGGTTTTTGAATTTTTTCTTAAACACAAAAATCCTTAGCAAATTTTAATAATTTTCCCACTTTTCAAAAATGGGTTCAAGGAAACCGGATTTCGAAAGTCCATTCTATCTAGTGTAAAACCGATTTTTTCGCCAAAATTCCCTAGCAAATTCAAATATTTATTCAAATATTTTCACTGCCAGAATTCTTGATAACTACTGCCAATTTGGATTTTCTACTACCAGTTTCTGGTACAACTACCACCTAAAAAATGCCCTGCATCAAATAATTGACGGCGTTTATTTGGCCTATTTTCACAATGAAACCAATTGCACCAACGATGATCACTATTTGAAATTGCCAACAATTGAAGCGAATGGTGATTGTACGATCAACAATCATACATTTCAAGACATTTCAATGACGAGGCATTTTGTTTGTTTGTTTGTGCTTTTTTGTTTTCAGGTGAATGATCGCTATGTGCCAGAATCGGCGAAGTGTGCCAGGATCGGCGTTTTCATACTACTTAAATTTGTTTGGAATTGATGTTGAATTCTTGATCCGTTGTTCCACTGCGCGATATCTTGATCTTGAATTTGTTCAAAATGTATTCCCAATACTTGGCAGAGATGATGGCATTTGTTGATATCAGTTGAATATATATTTATGCAAGATCGATAGATCCAACATCCTCGGCCCCTATAAAAATTACTACTTCCACAGTTGCTTTCTGTTCGACTTTGTTATCATCGTGGTTATCATTTGGAGAATGTTTACGCATTTGTGTGTAGATGTAATCAATATGGACTGTATTAAAAGAAGAAACGATGTTTTATTAATGTTTGAATATCAGATTATTGTGTGCACTGTGCATACCAATTGAAAATAAATTAATAAGATGTGTAATTGTTGAATGCGTCGTTTCGATGGAAAAATTCATCATCCATCCATAAAACCAGCAATAGATTGGTCCTATCATCAAATGTGCATAACATCGGTACGTGCATAATTTAACAAATGATGGACTTAAGGGAAACCCAAAATGTTACACATATTGTCACTATTGAATTGAAAAATTCGAATTAATTTTTCACATGGAATTTTTTTTAGAGGGTACTTACCAAATATTAATATCCAAAATAACATTGTTATGAACAATGAAAAATACGCTGTAAAACCAATCAATCTACATAAATCATGTTCATATTGTAGAAAATTATCTGTTACGAAATGGATATTGAACGGGACGAACGGAAACATGATATGTGAAATCGATAGCAATCTTGGGATGTTATTGATATAATATGCACCCATTCTACTGATCTTGAGTTTTTGGTCTTGATTTGTCTGCAAATTTGAAGGTATAAAAATGAGAATATAAATTCTTAAAAGATTTTCTTCCTTTCCATGGAAAATAATTGAAAAAGAAAATGCTGATCCATTTATTTACTCACTCCACGTATTGTATAAAAAAACAACACCAAATGAACTACCAAATTTACTATTGTAGCTACAGCTATTGGGCTTGTATGGAATAAATGTAAAAACGTAGTAATGGTCCAGGGTATAGGTAGTGGTGGCATTAGAATAATCATGGAAAATGTAGCTGATGTTACCCACATTATCAATATTATAACGTGGAAAATAGTTTTGGTGTCGAAATCTTTCAATCCCATTTTTAAACTTATTGTGACGATAACTAAAAACGGAAACATTTGAACATTATTACACTATTCAACAGCAAAAAACACATCAAGAGGTGGAGACTCTTTTTCATGGTTTTTGGGGCCGCTGAATCCGAATTTGGCCTTGGTTTGGCTCTAACAGCTCTAGTTTTCGAGATATAGCACAAGTGCGATTTTAGCATATTCAAGGTACTGCGATCTCAAAAATCAACTATTTTTGTAATAATATTCTACAATGTAATAGTAGACTCTGATAGACCTCAAAACCTTTCATTTAAGCTCCTATTTATCTCAATATCTCAATCCTGTCCAAAGTTACAGCACTTCTTGTGGAAAGTTCAGTCCAAAAACAAGACGTTTGGTCCACTTTTTTGTGCTTTAAGCCACTAGAAATACAGCATATCGTTATGTTTGGTATAGTTTCTGGCTTGAATGTTGTAGAGGAAGACTACACCAAGATTTTTAAGTGCTAGATGGTCAAAATATGTGCACTGGTTCGGAGGGAATTCGCAATCAAATGTAATGAGCAAGTTGCAAGTTCAAGGAAATTTAATATCATACAAATACACCTATGATATTCCAATCAGCATGAAACTTTGAGAATCTCATTTTTTTTTTAGTAAATAATTGAATTCTAGCAATTTCAAGCCAATCGGAATACAAATACGAGTACCTACCATACAAATATATCAATTTTTGGTCGATATTAACAGAACATTTGTATGGGAGGTACTCTTGAATTGGTTCCGATCAGCCTAAAACTTTTCGCAATTCTGTCTTTTGTTGAAAAAATAAAATTTTGAAAATTTCTTTTCATTTTGACCATCTAGCACTTAAAACCTTTGTATAGTCTTCCTCTACAACATTCACGCCAGAAACTATACCAAACATAACGATATGCTGTATTTCTAGTGGCTCAAAGCGCTGAAAAGTGGACCAAACGTCTTGTTTTTGGACTGAACTTTTCACAAAAAGTGCTGTAACTTTGGACAGAATTGAGATATTGAGATAAATAGGAGCTTAAATGAAAGGTTCTGAGATCCTTTATTACATTACATTGTAGAATATTATTACAAAAATAGTCGATTTTCGCGACCGCAGTACCTTGAATATGTCAAAATCGCACTTGAGCTATATCTAAAAAACTAGAGCTGCTAGAGCCAAACCAAGGCCAAATTCGGATTCAGCGGCCCCAAAAGCCATGAAAAAGAGTCTCCTCCTCTTGGGGGAATTTTTTTTCGAAATTTGTTGAGTAGTGTTATTGATGTAAAATTCACTTCATTCACTTTATTTACATACCTGTGACTATTTTAAATGCAAACCATATTGTTCCGAAAGGTGTATGCAAAGCCTCATATTCCGGTAGCTGCAAAAGAGAAATATATTCAAACTTTTATTCTATACAAAACGCAAGGTTTTTATTACCAAAATTTCGTAAATAAACACAGATATCACAGGAAACAGTGAAATGACGCCAAACTGAAAAGTATGTTGACTTTTCAGCAAAATCAAAATATTTTCCGTTGTAAATTCCATTTTTTTCCACAAAATGATGAGAATCTTTGTTTACATATCAAATTATGCTGAAAATAGGATAATAAATCGCCAGTGTCACATCCTTTTCCACCAAATATCTCAAACAGTAATTATACCGTAACGATATTCTCAGCGCAAAATGAATCAAAAATAACTTTTAATTACATTTCTATTAGAAGAAAAGTTGATAATTAAAAATAGACATAAAAATAAATTGTGTAAATACTTATGAGGACATTTCAAGGAATAAATTATTTGTATGTGTAGTAAATTGATACTTGGGAACGATTGTGTTTTGTGGTGTATAACCAAACATGTGTTTTAAGATTGCTGAGCATCTCAGCATTTCGTAAGGCACGGATA